TCTGTTCTATTAACTGCTACAATTTGTCTTCTCTGAGCCATGCATTAAAGGATCTAATAGTTGACCGCACGAAAGATGATCTTTCACATTTTTAACGTCTCAGGTACCAGGTCTCCGAGCCCAGGATAATGCACTACGTTCAGTGGGACACTTCCTATGTGTGATGGGAGCTATTTTTGGACTGGAGAGAAGCATTTAGCCAGAAATAACTAAAAGCTCTATTAGCCCTTAGCAGATCTATTTTCCAGAAACAGAACTCTTGTATTTAAGAGTTTTAGCACCAGGAGGAGGGGAGAGAGAGAGAGAGAGAGAGAGGGAGAGAGAGGAGGTAGAATCATGGTGTGAAAACAAGGTCATCTGTCCAACAATAACAATTCAATGTGCTTTTGTGGTTGGTGTTACCAAGTGTGCCAGTGTGTATGTGTGTGTGTATATGGTATCGAGCGAGCCAGTGTCGATGGTGATCAGCATGTTACATGAGGCAATAGTTCCACTGCTGGACAAGTGGTTCTGATTGCTTTTACACAGCGATGTGTCATGTGTCTGGAATGCATCAGACGGATGTGTGGAGACTAAACTCTACCGTTGTGTTCCTCCAGCTCGTTGCCAATCTCCTGGCCCATTATCTTCTGTCGGCTGATGACAGCTGCAAGAGCATCCAAGCCTGCATCCTGGGCTGAGAGAAGAATGGAAAGAACTGTAAAAATCGGACACATTTGAACGGGAGACACACACCATGCCAGAGATGTAACAGAGTAACACACACACAGACACAGAGGGCATTACTCAAGAAACCCGCAGAGCTGCTCTGGTCAGAACTCAAGTTTTTGAGTTTCCAGAAGTGTAAAAAGAAGATAACTGTCGTTGGGTAGAATCCACAATACACACATCTGCTGATGAAAGGAGGGAAGAAGGGAAGCAGTGTAGAAGGGAGGAGGAGGAGAACATGGACCAGACGTCGTAGGTTCCCAAACTTGATACACTTTCTACCGCATGAATTTTTTATGAACACAGGTTCAGGCTCTCCACATTACTCAACTGCACCAAAGATCCCACAGGGGAGTTGCAACTCTTGCGCGGTTTGGTTTCACTGTCTTAACAGGAATGTCTGATTCCGAATCATAATAGAGTCATAGCAACAAAGCATCACATGGAGTCAGTCGAACTAACGTGTGGGTGTTCAACTGGTGTCAGAGTCAGGAAACGGGAAGAGGCAGTAAAACGGCTGACAGTCTGTCTTCTACATCATCCTCTGCCAGATCACAGATAACACGCAGTGTATGTAGTTCCAGAAGGTTGTTACGTGTTCTCTCCCTGTGCCAACGCTGCAAATACTCTGGATTTAAACACACAAAGGTACGTTTTCCACATTGACGGTAGAGGCTCCACTTGTTTTGGGAAGTACCCACTGTGGGAAACACTATACACACCACTTTTTTTAACAAATATGAGAGGACTGCATCCAAGAGATACAGAGTCGTAGAAAGACTCAGTGTTTGGTTTTGAAGGTAATTTTATTAAAGAGAAACAGGACGGAAAAGTTGAAAACATGATAGCGCTGGAACGTGACGATGAAAGAAAACATTAGAAAGCTGTTCTTGGACGACAGTCAACTCAACTGTAATTACCTTCAATGATTTGTTGCTGCTGCTGTTTAATCTCCCCAAAGGTGAGGCCTCTGGTCTCCTCTGATTCGTTGACCAGCCAGGGGTTGGCTGCCACACCCCCACTTGATCCTGCTCCTCCTGTCAGCAACGATGACCTAAGTCACAAAATCAGAAACGATCATCAGATTTGGTCAGGTCACGAAAACACCAATTAGGATTAAATCGTGATTAATCGACAAATGAATGTTTCTTTACGTTGCATTTCAAACAGAGCAACTGCTGCAGGAATTGAAAATTAATAACAAAGAAAATCTACTTCAACTAAATGGTGGACTCCATTTTTGTTTTTCGAGGTCATCATTTAAATCTGAAGTCAACACAGACAACCTTTGTGTCACCAACAAACGTCCAACCCTCCTCTGTACAGATCCTGCAGCAGAGACACATCTGTACAGAACATGTTCCATTTCTCACTGCTGTTAAATACCTTTTATGTCGACCAAACCTATAGATCACAGAAGAACATCTATTTGTTTCACTGGTTCAGTCTTTCAAGTCGTTCTCCGGTTGACACTAACCAGGTTAGCTGGTGCACTGGATAAATAGATCATGTAAATCTGTCACAGGTTTGTGGAGCGCTGGCCAGTGTTTCACTCTGACTAAGTGACAGACCAGAGAACTCCCCACACTGTGAAGTGCTAAACACCAGCGTATGTGTGTGTGTGTATGGTTTAAAACCCTTAGTTCTTTTACTAATGGCTTAAAGCTGTGTCTCAGACCCACGCCGCTGTCTGTGAGGAGTGTTTGTGTCTGAGGCTGAATAATTCACATAAGCTGAAAGGGAATGACAAGTAAAGTGACCCAAGTCGTACGTTGACTTATTAATGATTATAATGAAAGACAGAAAAAAATAAAAACCCTTCAGCCATCAACTATACTTTCATTCTTAGTGGGTTATGGGTCCATTAGGACCGGCCTGGTCAAAGACGTCAGGCTACAGGGTCTGAATCTTTACAAAGTCTGGAATACACACACACACACACACGTGTGCAGCAACACCAACGAGCTGATAGCAACCAAAAAAAGGCAACCCAACAGATTAGCATGGCCGCCTGAAACCTAACCACCCAGGGGTCCCAGTCAGTGTCATGCCTGTAACGAGGGGCGTTCAGGTACCATAGAAAATATTAGGGGGCAATTTGGTTTGAGAATCAAAAAAAAAAAGTCATGAGAAAAACAAAGTTTATAGCATTTGAAAGGGTATACTTTCACATACCACATACAGCATTGTTTCCCAAAGAGTGGGTCGCGACCCACTCGCGGCTCGCAAGAGGGGGTTTTTTTGGGTCGTCTCGCATCATGTTTCCCAGGAGTTTACGAATAATGTCTATTGACTTGGGTCGCGAAGGTTTGTGACTTTTAAAATACAGAAAAGAGTTTGTGAAACACTGACATACAGTATATGGTAAAGGGGTATAAAGTCATGAGGTTTATATGTAGATCTTAAGTCTTTTGTACCATGTGATTTCAAGAACTCTTCATTAAACTAAAAACTTCCCCATGAAAATAAATCTCTAGAATCTGGGGTCTTAAATGTGGACCCTCCTCAGGGTCGCTGCTCAGTTAAGATTGGTAAGACCATTTACCAAGCCTGCTGACTTAGCTTGATGCTATCAGAGGGGTAGGTGAAACGAGGCATTGGGGGTAATCTGCCTGACATGTTTGATGACTGTGATTCTCTGTGCCAGGCCCTTCACTTCCTCTCTGCAACTTCCCAGTGTGTGAAGATCCAATTAACCAGTCAGCAGGGAGCGCCAGAACCAGTCAGGCACATCTCTTGGCAGCCACAAAGCAGCAGACTGCCGCCATCGTGGCCTAAGCACCCGGGTCCTGACTGAGTGACTTGGACAGGCAAGATTTGACCAATTACAACTGTTTCCACTGCAATCAGACGCTAGGAACGGGTTACTGAAAACCAAGGAAAAGGTTGTCGCGGGGGCCGACAGGATGAACTGGGGCAGGGTGAAATCCCGGCGCCTCGTCTTACTTTTGCTTAGTCTTGATTTGAGAAGCTCGGAATCCATTGTTTTCAGATGTGATTACGGTTTCTTTCGCAATCGTCATTTTCTTTTCTTCTACCCAAAATGCTCAGTAAAAACAGATTAGATTATCCAAGCATGGCCAATCCACCGCCTCCCACATTCCCTCCTCAAAGACCACACAGTGGGAACGAGCCCGGCCCACAAATCCAAATTACCCTCCACGTATCACTATTAAATTCAGGTCAGACAGAGCAAAGGTAAAACCACACCGCCACATGATTACTGTATATGCTAGGCTAATTTATTGGTGACAAACCATTTGAGATTTTTACAGACCCTTTAATGTGGGTGTGTGGTCTATAAACGAGATTAAAGGCAGTAAAGCACATCAGAGGAGATCAGTGCTGAAACAAAAGCTTGTTAAGATATCAGGGAAAGGCAGCAGTGACTGACTGACTGACTGACTGATAGTTATCATCACAGGTTAGACTCAAACTTGTGATGTTTGTTCTCACTCTGCTGCCGTCGGGTGACTCGTCAGAAAACTCTCTGCACCCACAGCGTAGTGTCTGTCTTGTCAATGTTTGGGTTCAGTAATTATAAAAATAAAAAACACCTAATTACTAGCGCAAACTGAGTGAAGTTAAACAAAACATCATTTTCTCTCTGCCAACACAAACATCACCTCCATTATACAAATTTGAACATTTACTAAACACGCTGAGCGACTACAGCGCCAACGGGAGGAAAGTTGTCAGATGAGTGAGGAATTAAGCTCTTGGATTTTCCCCATAAAGATGAACGAAATGACAGCATTCAGTACAACATATAACGGCTCTATAGCACCACTAGTGGTCGGAATGGGTTACACAAGCCACCCTCCCACGTTGCAAGATGAAACACAAATTAGAGAGAATATGTGTACCACAATAATTAGCCTGTTAACTGAGGTTAATCACTCAGGTGTTTGTTATTAAAGTGTTGACTTGCACCCTTAACCTGCTAAAACATGTCACTAAATTGTATTTAATTATTTATTTTGCACTTGCAAACAAGTAGTTGTGATACACTACTAATGAGCACTACTGAAAAATATCCAAAAAAAAATGTAATTTGGTAAATCACTTGGACATTCATTTAAAGGGCAAAAAGGTTAAAAATATATTCAGTGCTCTTACTAACAAAGCTTAAATATTATTGCAGGTCATAAACTGCTTTAGAACTTGATGCCTTGTCATACACTCTGAAAACACTAAATGAAGACAGAGGGAAAAACATACAGACATACTGAGGTTCTGGGTTCTAACTAGTTTTCTCAGCTTATGGGCATTAACAAAATAAAAATAGATGAATCAGATTTTCACCATATTTTCACCAAAAACTGTGTCTGTAGTAAAGTGTTAAGAAAAAAAAAAGTTTTTGCAATAAGAAGTTCTCACACTGTGTTTGTGTGTGTGTGTGTGTGTAGATGAGTGTGTGTGTCTGGAGGGGGGGGGGGGGGGGGGGGGTGAGAGGGGGCTGCCAAACGTGTGATCAACGATGCAAAGCAAGCAAATCTCCCACTGCAAAACAATTAGCTATGAAATCCAGCACCTTGTCAAAACTGTAAACAGACACACTTCCTCCCCAGTGACAGCACAGGGAGAGGTCACGACACAAGGGTCGCACCGGATTTGCAAAGATTTCACAGAAAATTAGTTGCACTTGTGTACCAGCCAAGCAGAAAGGTAAGCCCTTGACCTCTCTGGTCAAGGAAAGAGACACAGAGTGAGCGTTCATTAATTTTAATTGGGTAAGATGGACCTGATTTTACTATCAAGTGGATGAAGAAAGTCCCGGAGAGAAAGGTTTGGCGTTTCAATTCAATTCAATGTGTTTCAATTATGCTGAATAAAGTAATGAAAAGTAATAATTAGCAACTTCAGCAATGGCCTGATATTAATAATAGTTGAGAATTAGTTGGATCAACAATCAATTACCAGTAGTTTCTACTAGACTCAAAATGGAAATCTACCACTACAAGCATTTAAAAAAATGTTAAAATAGACAGAATTAAACAAACTAATGTAACACTTTCAATGAAAACATACATTTCCCGTTAGCTTGGAGATATTTAAGCCTGGACGTTTTACACATTTCACTCTCATTACAACTCAAATCCTCGGCCAGTGTTGTGTACCTGGGGTTCTCTGGCTCTGTGATTTCCCCTTTAAACGTGGCATTGAGCTGCTTCTCCCTGGTCAGAAGGTCATCGACCAGGTTCTGCCTTCTGTCTGCTTCCGACTGCATTCTGATCAGGCCTCGTTAAGATCATCTCAAACACCTTTGTATGGAAATCTTTTAAAACGTTCTACCGCCCTCTTCTGGAAAAGAAATGCAACTACAGGCAAAGAACGAAACCATGCGTCCCTAAGTGTTTTTTAGGCTTAATATTTATTGTCTATATCTAGAGACTTTTTTTTAATCCCATAGTTTCTCCAATATTTGCAGCACTCTCTTACACTGACTCAAAAGTCAGAAGAACCCTTGGCCATCAAATAATTTTATTTTCATGTCCTTTACAGCTCACAAAAAATAAATTTAAAAAGGATACATGTGACGAGATGAGGCTCGCAACAAGCCCTCTTTGAGCTTTGGAATATTCTGTTTCAGCTTCTGTAGAGATGCTCGTAACGTCATGTTGATCTGAAAGGAGAGGACACACAAACGTCTGTCTATTCCACAGGAAACTATGGACAATGACCTGCATTGGTGAGAGGAATTCCTTACCTTCGCAGGGTTTCCCCCTGTTCTCTGTTGTCTGTTTCGTTCATGAATGTTTTCTGCTATTTCCTGTGCCAGGCGACACGTGGCGTCGTAGTCCTGTAACCTGATAAGGAATGAAAGAAAAGATCACAGTCTTATTACAGACAACAGCGACTCAAGGTCACTCAATGTGACTGTGTGGTCAGTGGGTACGGTATGTTCATGCTGGAGGAGTGAGGTGTGTTGAGCAGGTGATAACATCAACTGCTCAGTTTGTGTTGTTTTGTGTATTTTAGAGGTGTGTATTGGAAAGAATCTGGCGATACAATATGCATCACGATACAGGGGCAACAGTAAGATATACTGTGATATAGTGTGATACTACAGGCAAGACGATATATTACGTTTTTTAAGCAATTTAATTGTAGTTAACACACAACACAGTTACATGCTTAATATTAGGTTACTAATTCTGGAACAGAGAGATCTACGTTTGTAAACGTTACAGAAGAAACAAAAGTCTCCAGTTCGGCTTGGATAACAGTTGTACATTAAAATCAAACTTTATGAAATAATTCATAAATTAATAAAAAGTTAATAACATATTTAAAAAGATGGACGGCTTGGATAACAGTTGTACATTAAAAGGGGGCATTATGATAAATATAATAAATTTACAGTAAAACGTCAAAAGAATACGCGAGTTCTTCGTCACGTTCCAAGTGATGAACAAACTGATGAGGCAAGGCTTATTGCGTCATGACTGCGTTGACTGTACTTTTATATTTACCTACGAAAACCTATGTAGAATGTTTCCCAATTAAATAAGTAATAAAACTTAATTACGTTAATTTACCTATCTGTATACCCATTAGAGAGCAGGAAGTTAGGGTCGTACAATTAGTTGAATCGGTCAAATAGCAACGTTGCGTTCATCACGTGACATTTGTACATTTGTCCTTTTCCTGTTTTGACTATGTGTAAGGAACCAAGGCTTTAAATGTATTAAGACAATTAGCATTAAACCCAACCACACATTAATAGCATAAAAAACGATCTGTCGATTAAGGAAATCAACAGTGAGTGTTTATTAACCAGATTAACCAAAATCTTCGTAAGGAAGCGGTGACAATAACACGAAAGTTATACAAATATTTAAGTCATTTATTCGGGAAATCCAAACAATAATGACAACGAAGTACCGGAACTCACCAAAGGTCCTGAGACATAATGATAAAAGGTGTTTTAAAAGAAAAACACACTCGGTTCGATCACATTCAAGCAGCCTCAGCTTGTTTGGGTGTAACGTCACTACGGCAAGTTAAGGAAGACAATTCATTTCACTATCGCGAAATAGAAAGAAAGAAAATATAAATTCTTGCCCAGCACACTATAATTGTACTGCTCTGGCATACAGTATAAATTTGCTTTTTTTAAATTATTTCCTACAAAAAAAATATATGTATGTATGAGACTTTTGCCTGTTTTGCTTCAAATTACATTTAAAAAAACCAAATTGTAGTTTCACGCATTTTGTAAAATATACCCTTTGTATTATTTTTAAAATAGTGTTATCAGCTTCTAGTATCATGTGTCATGAATAAAACAAAAGCAAACATGTTTATAAATACTGTGTTATATTATCTAAGAACTTCTTCTGTGTAGTAATAAAATTGTTAAATACCACTGTTGATAGTTGAACCCTCCTCTAACAGTTCATACAGTATGAGGGTCAAAACAAAAAAAATTAAATCATTACTTACACAAAATGAATTTTCCACTACTTTGGAAATTTACTTCCTAAATGTCAGACCTGCTAATTTGACAATAAAAAAGAATATAATAAGCTTTAGCCACATTACTCTATATGTCACAGAACGTCATTGGCTAAATTCTAATGTATGTTTGCATAGATTTGTGTGATTCTGACCTCCATGGAAAGTGACGTATAGAAATACCAGTCTGTCAGAGCACATGGGACAAAGGCTTTGTTTTTCAACATGAATACATGTGAAGCCCACATATGTAATAGGCACTTGTAGAGGTTTTATGTTTCATAACCAAACAGTGGTTGTTTGGATCAAAAACATATATCTGTTGTCTGGAATAATAACTCTTACAAGAGTTCTTGGAACAGATTCATTTGTCATTTCAGGGATTCGCCTGAAGTAGTTTCAGGGAAGGACCATTGCGGTAAATTGTTTTTTTCCTCCGTGACCTCCTTGTGAACTAGGAATATTTTTTCAAAAATGTCCTTTTTATATTTCGCAATATTCACTGCGATAGACATGAGGATCTGTAGTAGATAGTAATATGGTTATTAATTGGAGGTGATTTATACACAATAGTTATTTGACATCATGGTTTAAATGTATTTATTGATCAAGTTCTGTTCATACAGGTTGTGAATATAGTTGTGCTGATGATATTGTTTTCTTTCTTCTCTGAACAGTTCCATATATACAGTATACAGAATGTTCCAAATTATGGCTTTGGCTCAACTCACCATAAACAGAGCATGCTTGGGTCACATGGCCACAGCCCTCAGGCTTATATAAAGCCCTGATCTTTACTATGTGCTGACAACAGAAGGCACATGAGCGCCTCACTCCTACGTTGATGAAGAATGAAGAAGGACATGATTGACATTTCCAGAACACCAGAATTTTCCCTCTGTGAAAATATGACTCCAACCACAGTCCACCCGTCCTCCGACCAATGCTTGGACTGCGTAGCAGGCGGCAGAAGCCGGCAAAGATCTCGCTCTTATTACAGCCCAGAGGAGAGTAAGAATTATGGGATATCGGCAGAGACTGAGGAAATCTGTCCAAGACCTCGCTCCAGGTAGGATCTATTTTTAATACTCAATTTACCCGTGAATATGTGTTAAAATCGTAGAATACTAGAATCATTAAACATGTGATTCCAAATTGATAAATAATACAGAATCAATTGCTCCTCAGGTCCTTCTACAGCTATGAGACTTCAGAGCATTTTTCCGACTACAACATAGGAAACTTTGACAGGTTCAGTCCGCTGAGGCAGAGGGCCAGCTCCTTAAACCAGTGTCAAGCGACCTCAACGGACAACGTAGTTGTTGCCCGTGTCAACATGAAGAAGTCCAAGTCGAAAGCAAACAAACATTCATCTTCCAGAGAACTAAATGGTACTAAAATATGTTGAACACTTAACCGTCTGTGACAACATCCAAGGAGTGATGAATGTTGAACACTTACCGTCTGTGACAACATCCAAGGAGTGAAGATCAACTGTACGTGTTTTTGTGTTCTTCTCAGGCAGTAAAGGCAGTCTGAAGTCAGTGTCCATGATAACCATCTCAGAGTTGGACAACTGGCAGATCAACTCCACTTCTGGAATGATGTACGGTCAGTTTGTGGACTGGGAAAAGATCGATCCCGAGGCAGCAAATAAATACCAGCAAATCCTCGCCAGTAAACACCAGCAGCTGAAGACCATGGGTCGCAAAGGATTCTGGGCCATGCCACACACACTGAGGGCCAAGGCTTACTATCACATCATACACAGCATCAATGTCAGGTGAGGATCGGGCAAATTTCTATCACTCATGCTTTGGTAATTTTACTGTGTTGATCACATTTAATTGAAACTGTGTTTGTTATAATTGACCTTGGTGTTTTTTTAAAACATCTGCAGCAACCCCATCTCCTCAGACAGAGAGGTCTACTATGAACTGTCCAAAAAGCTCTTTGGAGAACAGAAGATGAGCAGTCATCCTGTCCCAGAGTACATGGAGGCAGAGGAGATACCGAGGTACATATGTTCAGTACATATAGAAACCTGATCATCAGATTTCCACAGCACGACACTGTCCGTCAATCCATTTTTTTTCTCGTTCTTTTCAAATCCAGATACTGTCTCAACAAGGCAGGACTCAACTCAGTTAAGAAAATCCTTCTCTGCCTGGGCAAAAACTTCCCAGACATGAACTTTTGCCCCATCCTCCCCGCCTTGGTCTCCCTCGTTCTCCACTTCAGCCAGGATGAGGCCGAGTGTTTCTACAGCGTCTCTCGACTCATCTGCTACAATGACCCCAACAAGCGCTACATTGACCAGACCTTCCTCACCTACCGCGCTTCCTGTATGACCTTCGGAGACCTTGCTAACAGGTGCTGCAGGGGCATCCGTAAGCTTATTGCCAGCTCCCACCAGAACCTCTTTGAGTTTTATTCTGATTGGATCATGTGGATTTTTGCCTACCTTCCATTCACCTATGCCATCAGAGTGCTGGACGTCTACCTGCTGGAGGGGTACAAGGTTCTCTACAGGTTTGTGCAACACGTTAATCTAATTTCTCCTGTCTATGTGATTGATTCTGATGTCAGATTTCTCACTGAATTCAAGGGTGGCACTGGCTTTGCTCGGCCTGTACAAAGTGTCAGTGTCGTCTCGAGTGGCAGACGTGGAGGATTTCCGGACCGACATGAAACGTTTTGTGCAGAACATAGCTCGCCACTGCTCGGAAGAGATGCTTCTGGAGAGAGCGTTCAAAATCCAGATAGCAATACGAAGGGAGCTCAACCTCCTGTTCAACGCCAACAAGGACTCTCTCATGCAAAAAGGTGTCAGCATCCACCAGAGGAGGTTGGTTAATACATCTGTGTCAACACAAAACTGAAATCTGATTTTAATTTTTTAATTAATGCTGTTTTAATTCCTCTGAAGGCAGATGGTCGAGTCGGTGGACTTTGCGAACTTCAGCTCCAGCGTTGTGACGGGGACAGAGATGAGTGTGGTCTGGGCCTGGATACCTGAACGTTTCGCTCTTTTCAGTCCGATAAGGCTTTATAATGTGATGAAACATGAAAGAAGTCTCACTTCGTGAGTAACTATTGTTGATCCCAGAGACATAAAGTGTTGTCTTTTTTTATTCTTGTTCTTCCTACTTGCATTGTTGAGCTCACCAAAGCTGGGTATGTGCTTCGTAGCACGCCCCAGACATTTGCAGTGTAGTATAGACCCTTGTGTTTTTACTATCAACATGTTTGCAGTGAGGGTAACTGTGGTGTGACTTACTGGTTCATGGTGACTGTGGCTGTTGTTGTTGCACAGTATGTTTTTTTGTTATTTAAATGATAGGACAAAAGGTGAAAAGATTAAACACACCTGTCTAAAATGGAATTCTAACCGGTAACCCTTTTTGCTGTGATATATTTAGTCTAACTATTCCCTGTCCTTCTTTTGTAACAAAATGTAATTTAATATTACAGAGTATTCAAAATGAAGTAGTCTATTTAATAAATATTTAATAGGAAATAAAAACAACATAAAGATGTTGTCACCCATTTTCTCCTCCAGGTTATATTCCCATGTGGAGGGACATGAACCTGCAGTCCTCATCATTAAATCTGTGGATGAAGAGGTAACACGTGAACCCGTGTACACAGTATGTGTATATGTGCTGATTTGAAATTTTAAAAAATGCTAACAAAATGGTGTTTTTTTTCACAGGTCTTTGGTGCCTTCTTATCAACAGATTTGACTGAGAGGAGAAAACATAATCCTGAGAGACTGTCGTACTTTGGAACTGGAGAATGTTTTGTTTTCACGGTGAGACACAATTCTGCAAATCTCTTTTTTTTACTGCCATCTTCACATAACCAGCTCTATTCTCAGTGATTATTTACAGTTTTTTTTTCTTGAATTAAAATAAGTAAAAGGCATTAACTGAAATTCATCTCTTTCAGCTTCGCCCCAGCATGGAGCACTACCAGCAGACAATGGTCAACATTATGACCAGGAGAGTGTTTCCACAACAGCCAAGTGACAGTTCTCTGATCACCTGCACTAAGTCCGACACCACCACGCTGACCTGCCCTGCAGGGACTGTCCAGGATCCCAGCTACTTGACCATTCCGTTCACTGTCCCATCAGAGGAGAATACAAATGCAAAGGAGCCAAAGAGACCCAAGGAGCAGCAAGCTAACAAGTTTTTAGCCGGCACTGACATGCATCTCTGTATTGGTACGTCAACTGACTGTGCCGTCACAGTTACTGAGATACTAAACCGATCTGTAGTAACGTCAGCTGACAGTGATGTACTGTATGTATCTTCTTCCAGGTGGTGATGGAGGACATGCAATTTTCCTACAAGAAGACCTGGAGGAAGGTTACACAGAGAACTGTGACACGTTTGAGAGCACACCACTGTGCAAGCAACATTTCAAGATCCAATCCCTGGAAGTGTGGGGCATCCAGAACTCTATTTCCTTTTCACACCTCATTACCCCCCAGTAAACTACAGTGCAAATTTGCATCTTTTTATGACCTTTTACCAGTGATGACTCAGGATGTTGTTTATTGGAATTCAAACTTTTGTTTAAAAATATTGTATAATGTATAATAATTTTCAGAGAAGTTACAAAGAATTGTATTTAACAGATGTCTGAAATACTTTACAAGTAAGCCCGATGATTGGTTCACAACACAAGGATTTTTTTAGTTACACAAACAAATGAACATACCAAGAATAAGTTCTGTAAGACTCACAGAAGGAACTAGTTTTTTTTTTGTTTTGCTGTTTAACAAATACTGTAAAGTACAACAGTTTGTTCCTAATAAATGTTGTTTTTCTGCAGTGTATCTTTATGTGTTAACAACTATGAATCTCACAGCCACATCGTGTGGTAGTTGTTGATGCACGAACAATGGTCCCACAAGCTGTATTTAAGCTGTTGCAAAACATTTGTTCAGGGCTTCACCTGATTCCTGAATACAACGATCAGTGATTTGGAGTCAGATGGTAATGGTAATATTATAGAACTAATCTAAGTTCTATAATCACATATAAATCAAACATTGCACATATTACCTTCTTCCTGAACCTTCTGCCTAAACAAAAAGAAAGGACAAAAATCAAGAAAGGGGAATTAATATAATGAAAATGACCATGCTATATTAAATAAGAAAATAAAAAATAAAAATCAAAGCAACACTGAATAACAACAAATATTAAAAACATGGTTTAATTGAACTAAAAATCGTTTAGTTTACTCAGCCCCAAATCTCGTATGTTGCAGTGTGTTTTGGGTAAACTGGAATAAAGCATGTTTCAATGCTGTCCCGGCTTGGAGTCATTGGTCGCTGCATATGAAGTCTCCCAGTATCCACCAATCAGAGAGAGCGGGTTCTTTTAACCACACCGGAAGTCACAGTAAAGAGGTTCCGCTCGTGATTCTGGAACGTCTTGACTTGCTTCTTGAATTGGATGCTCTGAGCTCCAAATGATCTTTTGTTAAGTCTTCAGGGGGAAAGCTGCGAAAACGCAATCATTATAGGATTATTAATAAGGTGAGACGCACACAAACAGCGTGCCCTGGTTAGTCCCAAACAGTGTAGCTGTTAGCTTCAGCGGTAGCTATAGCTAGGCCGCTAATGTTATTCTGCACCGCTGGTTCAGCCTCGTCGGTGGGAAAAATAGCGGTAACTCGTTGGTTCTCTGTCAAAGGCTCCCTCAAAATGCTACACACGCTATGTGCAACAGCTATTGCAAAAGTAAGACTTGGTCCAAACTGTACTGCAGATTATAAATCGTTCAGTCTCTACACAAAGGCCTTTGTTGAAAATAAAACCAACTGCGGCGATGTTAGTCACATGTTTATGTCGTTATATCTGGTCTATGTACCCCTGGTTTATTGCTGTACTCTAGTGTGCATAAGTAGATGAGTTACTGCATTTACTTCAGTCTCTCGTTTGTGCATTCTGTTTCCTCTTGGGTATTTAAAGCTAATGTACATAACTAGAACCTCATGCTCCACAACGTGAAATTCTTTGAGCCGTCCAGGACCGTCATGAGACGTTTAATAGTTGTATAGTATAAAGTTAGATACGTGTTTTAGCCTCATTCGTGCAAGCCGTCATGGGTGGGGCACCGTCCCCATGGTCGTGAAACAAGCCCTCTGCCATAGCTAAACTGGTCCAGCAGCCTGGCTGCTTGTATACCCTTGGGCAACCACATGGCCCCGCCCGCGGTCTGCGACCCAAATGTTTTCTTTGAAAAAAGCATTATATATGATTGAGAAATATAATTTGCTTTTTTTTACAAACGTGTATAAAAGTCATGAATTTAAGCTCTACACCAAATGAAAATGTTGGTACAATAATGTAATTAATGTGGCATTATACTTACCCCAAACTAATATTACTTTGTAGGATACTGTAGATTCTGGGTCATCATTTTTTTATTATTATGTCTTTTCTTTTTTGTACCTGTTGGATGGTATGCATACAATGAGAAATGGGAAAATTAAAACTGACAAAAAACTGATTGAGCTTGTCAACAGTCATCTGGAATAAAGAATAAAAGAAAAAATTAACAACATTGTTCGTTTTAAGGAGTTTATTGAAACTTGTTATCGAAGCTTTAACAAAGCTCCGATGCGCAGGTCTTACAGAGAGCAACACAAGCACTTAACAGTACGAGAACGCTCGTTTGCAAGCTAGTGCATGTTACATTTATAGTGTGCTGGATACATTTGTGTGTGCGTACAAGAATATGAGTGCAAGTTGACCTCAGTACCATCACCACCTGTGAGATTATCTGGCCTAACAGAACACATGAAATCGGGAGTATGTGTATACAATTTTCAAGGTCTTAAAGGAACCAAAGAAAAGATAATTTCCCGTCACTAGCTAGCACACATAAGGTCAGGCTGGTCGTTTTAGATTTGCTCACCCTTCACTAACATTCTTTAGGTCTTTGTGTTAATGAGGATCAACAACTAATGCACCAACTAAGAGATTCTTCAATGTTTCAGGAAAAAAAAATCAGACTAAAAATTCTCTCTCATTTCAGACAGTATTAAGCTGCAGTCATGGGCCCAGACCTGGCACGAGAAATTAAAACAGAACCTTCAGAAAACAGTAAGTATTGAAGCTCCTTGTACCTTAGCTAAGTTTGGTCAACACAATAAGAGTAAAGTTTTAAAGAGTGTTTTCTCTGCTGTGATTGGTCATCAGGTCCAGCTGAAGTAATTGTGAAGGTAAACCCAGACTCGGACTCAGGCTCAACCTCAGACTCGGAGTCAGAATCAGAATCAGAAACAGATATTTCTGACCAGGAGGACACCAAAGAGCCAGGGAGAATCATTAAAAACAAGTGTTACCCATGCACCATCTGTGGTAAAATCTTCGACAGGCCGTCAAAGCTAGAACGACATAAACCTGTGCATACAAGAGAACCAAGGAAAATATTCCAGTGTCATGTCTGTCAGAAGACTTTCACGCAACAAGATCAACTCATCAGACATCAGAATTCCCACAACAGGACTAACAAGCATTCCTGTCCTGATTGTGGAAAAATTTTCAACAGGCCTTCAAGGTTGGAGAGGCACAAACGCACACACTTAAAGAAACCAAAGGTGCCTCATGAGTGTTCGTTCTGTATGAAGACTTTCCCAAAACTCAACAAACTTGAGCGTCACTTGAGAGTGCACACAGGAGAGAAGCCATTTACCTGCATGGTCTGTGGGAAAGGCTTCTCAGAGGCCGGCCATTGCAGATCACATGAAAAAATTCACGAGGAGCAACCAGATAAACCCTTTGCCTGCTCAGACTGTGGGATGCGCTTCTTCAAGGGCTCAGCACTCCGTCGGCACGCGCGCTCCCACACAGGCGAAAAACCTTTCAAGTGCACTCTCTGTGACAGTGCTTACTCTCGCTCCGAGGGCCTTAAAAGACACATGAGGAGCCACACCGGAGAAAGACCGCACAAGTGCATCGTCTGTGGTAAAGGCTTTTATTCTCGTCAAGATTTGAATATACATGGATTGATCCACTCCGGGGAGAAGCCGCACGTTTGCCGCGTTTGTGGCAAAGGCTTCTCACAGCTGGGCAACATGAGAGAACACGAGCAGAATGTTCACCATAAAACAGAGACGTTTATATGTAATGACTGTGGCGCCACCTTCACACGGTACACGTCACTGGTAAAACATCACAGGACGCACACCGGAGAGAGACCCTACCTGTGCCTCATCTGTGGTCGCAGATTCATGTGGAGCCATTCACTGAGCAGACACCGGAGGACGCACGCCAAGGACGGGCCTGTAGACGTTGCTGTAGACACACCTGTAGACGCAGATGATGTGCCCACAGATGCAACCAAAATGAGAGAAAGTTTAAAAGCACCATCGGAGAATCCCAGTACTAAAAAAGCAAGTGAATAAAAAAAGACATTCTAGTTTTTCTCTGCTGTGCTTAAACATATATTGTGCAGTTTTATTGTACAGGTTTTGTAACGTATGGCTTCGCTGTCCATTGAAAGCCTTCCTAGGACCATTGATTCGAAGCTTTTAGTCTTTTAAATTCAAATTCCGTACAAATATACTAAGGCGTGCCCACCAGACAAACGTGACTGTCCGAGTTAACTGTGTTTAATTTACGCATCCATGTCAGATTGGTGACACCATTTGTCATTTACACAAAAAAAAACACAAATCATGCAGATATTTCAAAGATTTGCAATGATCAGGTTTAATGTACCGCTCTAATGGTATTTAATAATAATACAAAGCAGGAGAAAATAACCTGCAGTGAGTCGATCAAAACTGACACCTGCGGTGCGAGCCCGGTTGGAGCGGAGTTTAAAAAGCATGGCATAAAAAGTAAACCACTCATTCCAACATGGCTTTATCTTAAGGTCAGGTTCTTTCTTCAGTTATTCAGAAAGAAAAAGTATTTCCTCGGGTTAATGCCTCCCTAACCTTTTCTTTGAGGCATTTGAGGTCTAATAAATGTGCCCTTCCACACATTGCTTCAATGTGATATTCAAAAGACCATTCTGGGAATTATGCAGTTTTCACGTTTCTATGTTGCAGTTCATATCATAATATTTTCGGTACTGAAGTTCTTAAAAAATAATTTTAATCTTATATTATCCCATTTAAGTCTCAAATCAAAGATCATTTTATACATGTGTATATATGGTTGAAATATTGTATTATTTTTCTCAAAGCCCAGTAGAAAAACAAAAGGTTTTATTTAGAAAAAGAAAAATCTCAAGTTGTCATTGTACATATTGCTACACACAACGGAATTTGTCTTTGTTTGTCCTGTCCGTGTAAAATTCTGGTGCTTGCTCAACATACCACAGGCCTGCTGGTAATGGGATATTACAACAGTCCACCAACTAAATGCATGCAGGTATAACTTTTCATTAGAAACATCTTGTGAAACAGTGCAACCGTTTCAGACCCATAAAGGTGTAAATGAAAATCAATCATACTGCAGTGGCTTTGCTTTGATCCAAGCCTCACATTTTAAATGAAGGTGTCTTGTCCTCGTCATTTCTTTAAACTTTTTTTTTTTTTTTTTTAATGGAAATCCCTGTTTCTGTGTTATACGTATGTTCATTGTAATACTAAGCTTACTGCAACTTGGCATTGTAGATTCAACCACCCTTCTGGTATACTTATCTTATCTGTTAAGTATGTGCTTAAAAAAAAACTTTTTTTTTTTGAGTTTGTCAAGATGTGAAAACTGGGAAGTTATGTATCCAAAATATACCAGCTAATAAAGTTCAAATTTACAACCATTAAAATAAGAAATACATTATGACTTTTTTGTTTCATGTTATTTCAGCAGGCCATAGGTACAGACCAAGTGCAAAGGAAGTTGTAGAAGATATTGGTTTATTTGTTGATCAGATTATTTTAGATTAGATTTGATGGAACTAAATTGATCCCACACTGGTGAAATTGTTGTGTGAAATTCTGCCTAAACTGTAAATAGACTTTATTATTAAATGAACCAGGACCTGTAACAAAGAAACAAAGTCTTTAGTGAAAATATCCAGCTCAGGTTCAGGTTGTAGACTCATAAGCCCAAATATAAAAGTACTTTCTAAAATGAAACCAAAATTAATATAATTAAAATTGTTTAAATTGAGACATATACTCTCGAAAATGTTACAGGAGAAATTGTAAAAAAAAGAAAAAATAGAAAATAAGATTACAGTGGGGAAATCATCAATAAACACATACTTAATAATAAATAGATAAATTAAAGGATTAATAGATGAATATTTAAACCTCACACTGCATGCGGCGGGGGCAGGGTTGTGTTGAGTTGACCAATGGCGTGAGGGCAGCATAAGCCCGGCGGTTGCTAAGTAACGCCTGTTTGGTGTGTTTAAAGAGACCCGTATAAGGACGTGTTAGCGCAGCATTTAGATTTTCTTTCTGCAATTTTACACTTCACACAAGAGAAGAGACGACAACAACATGGCTCTTGAAACAAAGGACGTGCCTCGACTTGAACTGGAGGCAATTATTGGATTCAACGGTGAGTTTTTAATAAGAAACACTTTTCTGGCGTGAAGCCATGACTACTTTGGCTACTGTTAAACTATTGCTGTGTTAAATAGTTATCTAATAGATGTCGAGGGGGGAAAAAAATCAGAGTTCGAATTTAGAAAAGTACTAAATGATCTACTGTTAGGGATTAATAAGTTGTAGTTAAGAATTACGTTATAAGTGGCCATCTAAATGGATGTACCACGAAACAATTTTTTTAAAATAAAAATAATAGTACACAATAGTATGGAATAATAAAACAAAACATTTGCCCATTCTGCAGTTAAATGTTGCTTTAAATATGTATTTACCTGGGAATTATGTATATTTTATCAAGTGTTTATTGCATTTTCACAACTGTAATTCCTACAAAAATATTTGTTTCATTACAACAACATATAAAACGACACAGTAACACTTCCTTTTTCCCAGGTCATGTTATCTCTGGCCTGAAAGTCTACCCAGACAGAGAGCACCTGGTCTACCCTCTAGGATCCACTGTCATTGTCAAGAGAATTACAGACGGAAAGCAGGAGTTCCTGCACGGACACACAAACAATGTGTCCTGTCTCTCAGTGTCCAGAAGTGGTTTATACGTCGCCTCTGGACAGGTCAACTTCATGGCCTTTAAGGTAGACGGAGTTAAGATGCACTCTTTTCATTGTAAAATCAGGCTGAGTCCAAACAGAACATCTCTGTGTTTTTTCCTAGGCTATGGTTATTATATGGGACTTTGCTCAGAGATCAGTCCACGCTCAGCTGCTGCTGCACAAGGCCAAAGTAGAGGCACTGGCTTTCTCTCCTAATGACAAGTACCTGGTGTCCCTGGGGGGTCAGGATGACGGCAGGTGGAGTAGGACGCTGTGGAACTCCCGCAGAAACATTGCCATGCTCTGTTTGTAAGGTGTGTGAATGGTGTGTGTGTATGTGTGTGTGTTTTTATAGCATCGTCGTATGGAATATAGAAACCAAGCAGGCCATCTGTGGGAGTCCGGCTTCAGCTCACAGCACTGGTCACTGCCTCACTCTGCAGTACTCAAACACAAATGACAACGTCTTCGTTTCTGCCGGGAGGTGAGAGAGTGTGTTCTCTATGAATTATTACTCTAATTGATTGATTATTGATTAATTATTGCAACTTTTTGACTGTTTATGCAGCGGCACATTGCGAGTCTGGGAGTTGGATGTTGCTAACAGGAAGATTAGACCAACAGACTGTCAGACTGGGAAGTTGAAGAGGACGGTGAAATGTGTAGAGGTACGAAGACAGGACAGTCTAGAGTCACTCCGTAGACCGTTCATAGAAACCATGTTCTCCAGAATGAGAAAATGAGATTAACAACTAAAATCCATATTTTGGTAATATACTTTAAACTTGCAATCTAAAGTTTTTTAGAAACTGATGGTAACTTTCCATGGGCGTATTCTAGTTGCTCGTTGCAACCTGAATGCCCCTAGTGGTATAATGATGCAAACTAACTGTAAACAGCAGCTTATTGTGTATGAACTTCACTGGGACGTGACAGATTGTTGGTGGTTTTCTGAACTGTTTCTCCAAAGGTGATAATTCACGCCTTGTCATTGTCATGTTGCCTGTTTACACGTGACAGATCACAGACGACGACCAGTTCATTTACTGTGGCACCACCAGTGGAGACATCATGAAAATCAACCTGAAAACAAAACTTCTGTGTGACTGTGGTCCAGTCAAAACAAAGTACAGCCTGGTGGGTACATCTGGGCTGGGGTGGAATTTAAATTGATCTACGGATGTAATTGTGTTATTATTAAAAATAATTCCTATTAGTAACTCAAGTTATGTTCACATATATAGAGTTTTGTCTTCTAACTTTTTTTTTTTTGCATAGGGTGTAAACGTCCTGAGGATCCTTAAATCTGGAGACCTGCTTGTGGGCTCTGGCTGTGGAATCTTCACACTGTGTTCGAGGAATAACTTCAAAACACTCAAGTGAGTCCATACATCACAATCAGATTTTTTTTTTAATTTTTATAGTATTGGTTCCAAGTATTTGTGTGACCTTTTTAATGCTTTTAAATGTGTCATTTTTCATTTCATTTGTTGATTAAAAAAATGAACCTGTCAATGATATTGAGGCATTTATTCCTGCATTAAGGACATGTAAGCTGGAGAAGGGAGTGACGTCCATTGCTTTGAGAGGAGAAGACCAGCAGATCTTTGTTGGCACGGAGGCTTCTCAGATGTACAGCATCACCTTCAGGGACTTGAAAGCTGAGCTCATCTCCACCGGCCACAGCTGTGCTGTCAATGACGTAGTCATCCCTTTGTAAGTACGGTATCATCGTTGACCAGTACCAACGAGCCAATGGCCAATGATCTTTACAGACCCAATCACAGGTCAATGCTTCGTTAAGAGTAAGAAAAACACGCCACACTTTTGTAAAATATAAAAAGTTTCCTTGTTTTTACACATAGGTTTAAACTACAAATTTAATTTCACAAGGTCGTCCTGTAAAATGCCTGATATTAAACAACTGGTAAAAAAACAAAAAAAACAAAATATTACACACTAAAACTGCAAGCTTCAAGGTTTTATTGGAATGTGAAAAACATGTTTAAAAAATTGAACTTAACATGAGACAAGATACTAAGAATAACATTTGTCCACAATAAAAAATAATGCAGATTAAATAATTTAATTTCCTATCACTAAATATATTCCTATCACTATAAATATATGTATAGTTATAATACATACAGTTCGAATGTGTTAAATCACGGAGCAATATGGGAAATAGACGAGTACTGACCGTGTAGTTCATGAATAAGTTTAATAGCACGTAGTGATCACTAGAGGGCAGCTTTTTACATCTCTTGTGTGGAAAAAAAACTGGATCGCTGTATTTTAAAATATTTGGAGAACATGACATTTGTTCTTGTTGTTGTTTTTCTACTTCATCATCACAGATAAAGCAAACCTTGAGACAAATTAATTTAGGAATATATACTTAAATACCGTTATATCCATCATCCCTTTAATAAAACCCCGTGTACGTCTGTGTTGTTTCTGTCTCAGTGGAACATCAGAGTTATTTGCGACCTGCTCCGGGGAGGACATCAGGCTGTGGCACATCGACAAACCCAAAGAGCTGCTGCGCATCACTGTCCCCAACATGACCTGCAATTCCCTGGACCTAATGGCAGATGGACACAGCATCATTAGTGGTGAGAATGGACTTAGGAGACTCACCAATGAGACAGTGGAGCTCATTACTAAGGAAATATTGTAGCATTGTTTTCATTTGGAGAAAAGAACCTCAGTGTCCACAGCTACATGGTTATTTATCCCATTGATAGTTCTTGTTCCCCAGCTAATAGTAAATGTGTTAACTCTCCACCAACGTCATCTAATAATTATTTTTTATAAATCTGTATTTTATAGCAATTTTTTTGTTTAGCAATAATAAATATAACATTCTAATATTTTTTGGGGCCCTGTTTGGGTCTCCTAAGTTTCTACTTATTGTATTTGTTTCACTGCTGAATCATTTATGTTGATGACTGACCGGTCCATTTCGTTTCTGCCAGCCTGGAATGACGGCATTATTCGAGTCTTTGCGCCAGAAAGTGGGCGTCTCATGATCAGCATTAATAATGCACACAGAATGGGCGTCACAGCCATCGCTGGCACCAGGGACTCCAAGAGGATGGTCAGTGGAGGAGGAGACGGACAGGTCAGTAACAGACAACACCAAATTGCTCTTCTTTTTCCTGTGTCATAATCATCTTGGCCGACATTCGCTTTCATTTTTGTATTGTTTTATTACAGGTTTGTGTGTGGAGGCTGCTTCCACAGGGACATCAGCTGCTGGAGACTATGAAACAGCACAAAGCCACCGTGGCCTGCATCAAAATCAAGAGCGATGACAAGGAGTGTGTCACCGCCAGCTCTGGTGCCTGCATCATTTGGGACCTTGTGTAAGTGATCCATCTGGAAACACAAACGTCGACCGTGTCTGTGGCAAAGTGGCGAAGTTTTGGCTTCAAAGCTGTGTTTAAAAGGAACCAAAAAAATACAACCAGGAAGTTTTGGCTTCAAAGCTGTGTTTAAAAAAATATTAGAAATAAAACTTTAAAACCCTTAATTAAATCGGTTTCTGGAGGGAAACTGTTGCATGAATTAACATAACAAGTGTGGAAAAAAGTTGTATCTTTATTCACTGACTAATTTATGAATTCTGCCCACATCCTTCACGTGAACGACTCATAAATGAGATTTCCCGTGTAATTATTTTTCTATTTCACTTCAAGAATGGCCAGTGTGTTAATGAATATCAAACATGTACTGTGATCCTCACAGTGTTAGTACAACTGTGATGCTCTCTACATGAATATACATGATGACAGTGTCTTAAAAGTCTGAGACGATACGTTTTGGTTTTCATTCGATTAGTAATGAATTTAAGAGGAGATTTCTAACCAAAGGTACTTTGTGTAGTTCATGCTCTCCAGTGGTTCAGCTCTGCACCAGACAGTTTATTTACACTTCTATATGATGGTATACTGTATGACTATATCATTTTTTATATCATTCCTTTTTTTTCCTGTAGGAGATTTGTGAGTCTTCAAACAGTCATTGCTAACACACTGTTCAGGACAGTGTGTTATCACCCAGAGGAATACCAGATTATTACCAGTGGGACAAACAGAAAGGTATGTCATCCGGTTCTACACTGTCTGTCTTTTGATTTTCTAGAAGATCTATGTATTTTCCCAATCAAAGACTGTTAGGCCAGTGTTTCCCAAACTTTTTTTGTGTCTGTCCTTTTGATTTTCTAGACGATCTATGTATTTTCCCAATCATAGACTGTTAGGCCAGTGTTTCTCAAACTTTTTTTTCACTTGTGACCCACCTGAGGGTCGTGACCCAGTCTTTGGAAAACAATGTGTTAAGACTTTATTCATCCCACACTGGGGAAATTCAGTTACAATCGCATGCTAACAGTAATTGCACCACACACACACACACACACTCCTATGATGATCAAAAAGAATGTTTCCACCCGGTCTCGAACCGGGGACCTTTCGCGTGTTAGGCGAACGTGATAACCACTACACTATGGAAACAAGTTGAAGGATGTTCACAATTTACTTAGTGTGAACCCCAGGCCTGTTCGGTTGAACAACTCTGATATACTGACAGGAATTGAAGAAAGTCACACATCTTGATGAGTTTCTCCACATACAGTAATTAAGACACTGTGTCGTCTCTGCTGCAGGGACAGATTGCTACTTCAGTTTCATTCTGAGTAATTGTGATAAACCTGGCATCGCGTATTTAACACGTGTCACCAGTTCACCGCGGCTGAATGAAGAGCGCCTGTGTCTTTCTTGATGGTCGACTTCATCTGCGCTCCTTCAGAGCTGCCACACACTCATACTGCTGCCTCCGCCTGGCCTGCTGAGGGCTGAGGACAAGTTGTGCTGATTAACACGGCTTTGGTTTGGAGTGAGCGAGGAGGAGCGAGAGAGTAAGAAAACCAGGGAGAGAGAGAGGGAGAGAGTTATTCATGGAAGGTGAGGGAGAGTAAGGAGTGAACGCGGTGCTGTGGTGTTCCTGCCTTCCTGTGGATGTGTCTAAGCATCTCAAGTGCCAGCCAGATCTACCATCTGCTCATTCAGGACACAAGCGCTCTGTCGGACAGAACAAATACCATACGTCTCTTTCTGTCTCTCTCTGTCTGTAATATTGACATAGCTGACACCTCTGTGTGACATTAAGGACAGCGTCTCCCTCTGGTTAAAAGGGGTGAACAGCTCCTACAGTGGACCTCATGTTTGAGGCCTGTTTATCTTTGATGGATGTACCTGGTGGTCCAAAGTCATGGCGGTGGGCCAGGGTCTCAGGCCGAGGTGCAGCGAGCACAGATGTGCCCAGACAACTCATACAAGTGAGAGTCTTCAATAAGCCACTGTAATGAGATCAGGGCGGCTGAGGTCGTGACTTTGGTTAAAAGAGTAGAGGAAGAAAAAACAGAGTAGTTCAGATGTTTTAGTCAGAAATGTCTGTAGTTATGGTGTTTTTTAGGAGTCGTTGTTTTTGGTGTTTGCATTGCATATATTCCTAAATATTATCTATCTATCTATCTAGTTATCTACTCATCCATCCATCCATCCATCCACTCAATCATCCATCCATCCATCCATCCATCCTGTGTTTTTCCTGTGTAGTACTCCAGTGTTGCCTTTGCCGTGGATTTGTTTTCTCGATACTTTCTCAGCTGTTCATCCGGTGCTTGATTTAATTTTATTTAAATCAGCAGATGTAGCTTCAGGAGCTGCGTGCGACGGGCTGATAGAATTCATCCTGGTAAATTCTTCACAGACTGAAAGTAGAGATTAAGGACGGCAGTTGTTTGAAGTGTTTTCTATTTATCTTTCCAACAATTATGTGGCTGTATCACCGATGAATACTACTGTGTACTCTGATCTCAATCAGCGTGACTAGAGGGCTACTTTGAATCCACCTACTCACTTTCCAACACATTAAATTGTTTGACTCCAACAGGATAGACATGGTCAGCATGGCTCTCTTACCAACAGAATAGACATGGTCAGCATGGCTCTCTGTAACATAATTTTTTTTTGTCCACAGGTCGCCTACTGGGACGTGTTTGATGGTTCCACCATCAGGGAACTGGAGGCCTCACAGTCTGGAGCCATCAACGACATGCACATCTCACAGGACGGCAAACATTTTGTGACAGGTATGATTTAATGACAGTGACAGTTTTATTTAATATAAATAACATTCATTTATATTTGGATAGTTTCTATAGTGTAGTGGTTATCACGTTTGCCTAACAAGTGAAAGGTCCCCAGTTTGAAACTGCATGGAAACGTCGCTGTCCTCTAGTGGTTTATTTTGAAACTGCGTGGAAACGTCGCTGTCCTCTAGTGGTTTCACTTCAATTCCCTAAACTTGTATAATATACACCAAGGCGCTGTGGCTTAGTTGGTTAAAGCGCCTGTCTAGTAAACAGGAGATCCTGGGTTCAAATCCCAGCAGTGCCTTTCCTTGGTGCTTCCATAGTGCGGTGGAGATCACATCTTCCTTATGCACAAAAGGTCCTGGGTTTGAGCCACCTTCTTACACATCTGCCTTATGCACCAAAGGTCCTGGGTTTGAGCCCCAGATGAACCACTTATTTGCTGCCTCCTGTTGCAGCAGATCAGCTGGCCGATCAATAACGATCTCATTATTATTATTTAATATAATGTAAGTTAATCCAAAATATAGATATTTATAGCAATGGATTTTGGATTTTAAGGTTTACTATGTTATAAATGATTTACACTACAAGTTTCCATAGGACAAACTAATATGTGTATTTTATCTTATGGCAGTCCTTGGATATAGATGTATTTTTACTGATAGATTTTTAATGTTTTTAAACCAGGTGGAGATGACAAGCTGGTGAAAGTGTGGGATTACATGGAAGGTGCTGTAACCCACGTAGGAATAGCTCACGGTGGCATCATTACCAGTGTGAGGATCTGCTCCAATAACCGCACATTAATCAGCACCAGTGCAGATGGAGCCATTCTCCGCTGGAGGTTCCCACATCCTCCTTCATCCTAATTAGACGCACATTATCTGGACTTTTTCTTTCTTTCCTCCCTGCTTTGACATGTGAACTGTAACTCAACAGACTGACCGAGGCAAATAAATGACAATATGAAGACAGAGCCGAACACATGGGATTTCATTCATATATATATGCCTTCACATGGTACTCAAACTCAAGATTCTGACATCTTTATCTTAATCAATCAGCAGTCATCCCCACGAGGATTCAATCTGACAAAGGAGACAGTAGTAGAACACTGTAAGCCTCTCTTGTACAGTCTCTCAACTCTCCTCACTATCTGTGGCGAATCTAAATAATTAACAGCTCTCACTGCTCCCCTTAAAAAAAAAAGTTACAAACCAAACTAACATTATTAACCCAGTCAGCAGAAAACATCCCTGAATCAGTGAAATGAAGCTTCTCTGTGTTTCCACCTTAGGAGCAAATATCTCCAGTATGCAGGGAAATGAAAGCATTTCTATATGGTATAGAGCTACAGAATGCGGTGCCTCTGGTCTCCCCTTCAGACTATCAGCACATCCTCACCTCACGTGCCACACAAAAATTCAATCTTTACTTCTGGTGAACTGTGAAATTAGGCTTCCTGTTATTGTAATCTGAATACAGCACACTAAAGATGCTGCAAAGATATGAGGGTTACATCGTCACTCTGTGAAGCTTTTAGATGAAGTGACGTTAATGTGCCTGGAAAGAGGAACAGCTTTTTATATGATCATCCATAACATTTAGTATTTAGTGACATGTTTTGTGAACTTTCTTTTTCTAGTATTTTTTTTATTCACACTATAAAATTCACACTATAAAATTATACTTATGTACTTATTTCTTTAAACATTATTTGCTAAACAAAAAAACACTTGGCTCCCTGGCCACAGTGAGGACTTATAGTGAAGTGAAGTATCTCAGTATCTGTTGGATATTGTGATAACTTATATACATAAAATGGAACAAACTTAAAATTCGATGTAGAAGATGTAGTACCACCCCCTGTTTTGCTTCAAAGTTGGTTTGAGTTTGGTTGTGGAGACTCTAAGGACTGATTTGAGGACTTCATCTTTAAACTGGGATCTGATTAAAACAATTATGTAATATCTGTAAGTATCGTTATTGGTTTTTCCTCCGATAATGAAAATCCTATAACCCAATGCCTGGGATTGGCTTGTGAGGTCCTGAGACGTTTACTGCCGTTTTGGGGAAAACGACTGCATATATCGATATTGGTTGATTTCAAAATCGCCATATTGGATTTCGGCGGAAAGTTAATATCGGACATCCCTAATTTTAAGCTATTTTAAGCTCTGGTTACTTGAGTAAAACTTTGTTCTGGTACTGTGTGGACAACTGTAGACTCATCCAGGTCAGTGTTATAATATTAATATGTCGAATTTATAAATGAATTAATTTTATGATAATACGTGTTTTTGAACTCAAGCAGCTGTGTCGAGGGCTAGAGACGCCACTGGGTTGTGAACTGGATCTTCCAAAAACAGGCACCTGTTCATTGTGGCTCAACGAGCACAAGTGAGGGGAGGGAAGGAGGGAAGAAGGGAGGGAGCGAGGAAACGCTCGACCCACAGCTGAAAGCCATCAATGAGGAAGTGCCATTGAAAGTGCTCTGTGTAGGGAGGGAGAGAGTGTCTGTGGATCCTGCACGGAGCGTCACCACACTGAGCGGCCAGACGGCTCTACATGACACCGTGAAAATGAGTCAAGATGTTGGGAGAATGAAAGCAGCGATTATGTGTCTGCCGCCACAGCGGTGAGGGATTGTGGAGAGAAGGAAAGCGGAGGTGAAGGAGGAGCAGCAGGGACAGGAGCGCAGACAGGCTCGCAGACAGGTGCGTGTTCGCTGCCCGTTTCGTTTTCTCACGCTGGTCGCAAAGCTCGGAGCCATGGATACCCGCAAGGTAAAAAAAACACCCATGAAATCCAAACCTGCAACGCGAAAGGGGAAGAAATTAAAAAGCGGAAGGTTCGCCAGGAGGAAATCGTTCCGATCTTTTGGGAATTTCATGGGAAGGATACTGAAAACTTTGGGCACTTTGGCGCACTTTGGAAACGCGGAACCGCCGGACGCCGAGGACGACGACGGCGGCTTCGGCCAGAGCGCTTCTTCTGGGGCTTCCTTCAGAGACTCACAGGTCACCAGGGAAGGAGCCGCGAAGAAGAGTTCCACCGGGTCCTCCACACACGGCTCGGTGAAGGAGAGGCTGTCGTGGTGCTACGGCGACAAGACCCCCGGCGTGCTGGGTCTGAAGAACCACGGCAACACCTGCTTCATGAACGCCGTGGTCCAGTGCCTCAGTAACACCGACCTGCTGGCTGAGTACCTGGGGCTGGAGCAGTACAAATATGATGTGTCCCAGCAGGGGAGGCTGAACGGGGAGCTGAGGGGAGAGGAGCCCCAGAGCTCCAGAGGAGAGGTGACGGAGCACCTGGCCTCGCTGGTGAGAGCGTTGTGGACGCTGGAGTACACACCGCAGCTGTCAGTGGACTTTAAGGTGAGGACTGAAGGCTGGCCCGGAAACACGCGTGTCTGCTAAAAGTGAAAGTTTATTTTGTACATAAACAATATCCTCAGGTACAGTAGCACACACTGGTTTGTACTGATCGTCCTGCCAAGTTATTGTACTTAAATATATTTAGAGACAGACAGAAAAAGTACAAAATTGAAACGTGATTATTTTTCTAGTACCCTCAGTCATTTATGTATCTTAGCAGGTGACTGGAATCGAACCCACGACCCTCTGTGTGTACGGCAACGTCACTAACTTCTAGTAGTGAAGTCTGGTACTGGCCTGTGATTCCTGATTATTTAAGCCACTTCAGGTGTAGTGTTCAGTGTGGATCTTTATAGCACATTACCTGTTTTAGTAATGACTCTCAAATTGATTGACAATTTTTGGTTGTTGGTACACTGGGTCGGCGGTGTTAAGCTTCAAAGACCACTGGAGCTCTGTACAATGTTACACCTAGACTCCAACAATTTTATATGTAAAATTTTAAATTCAAGATTCAATTTGTCGGGCACATGGTAAGAGTTGCCCTTTAGACTGTGCATATCCATCATAAAACAAAACACAGACAATGAAAACACACACACACACAACCAAAAAACACCATGACACATGATAAATATTTGCTACAGGATGAACAAAGGCACTGTTTACATACACAAATGACAAAGAGCCACATGTTTTGACTGAGTTACAGGATTAGCTGTATGAAAAATCAATAACTGGACCAGTGTACTCAACCTGTGTAACAGGCCTTTCAGATGTGTTTTAGCACCCCCTTCAGGGTGGTAGTCTAACGTGCAGACCCTTTGTTTCAACACGTGCAATAGTAAAATAGAGCAGGATACAGCAGACTTTATCTTTGAGATTTTATAAGTCAATAAATGACTCCTTTAGGTCAGTGATCCACACTGATGCCTCACTGTAAGGTTCTCGTCCCTTTGGAGGCAGACGGTTTTGAACCAGTGCAAAAGTAATGACGTGGTCAGTGCTGACAAGATCAGTGTTTATAACAAAAAAGGTCATGGAAAAATGTTTGAAACACTCACAGGAAGACAGAATCTGTGGAGAACAAGCTGTAAAGTTGTTCCCTCCTCCCCTGAGCTTCTCAGTCCAAGTATAATGTAATATTATCATCTGACTTCCAGCACATTCTTTTTTAACTCTGCTTAATTAGTTTTCTTCTAAAAAAAGTCATTAACGACTCCTAAAGTACCATTATTTTCACTTTTGAAGTACCCTTGTGAGTCAGTAGGGGGCCTAACAGCAGGTGTGTTTGGAGGGGGATTTCCTTTGAATCCAAGTAGTGGTGTTATCAACAGCTACAGCTTATATAACATCAAAGGAAATATTTTAATAAACCTGTCGTATCCGTCGATCCCTGAGTCCTTTGGTAACTCGGACGTTACGTTATAGTCGGGTGACGGCTCGCTGAGAGAGACACCTTATCTGTTTTTATGCCTTCATGCCAACATTTTACTGCGTTTGTCATGTGGTTACTCATTACACTCATTGGTCCCAACAATTCAGTGACTTCAGGTGGTTCATCTGCATTCCCCGCCTGTCGGGGGAGGGGGGGGAGGGGGGGGATCTGTTAGCGATACTGGCCTTGGCTACCAGGAGAAAAAGGGAGGCGATTTCTAAGCAGTAGTTCTATATTGAGACGCCAACATTTTGTCATGCAGTCATTAAGTGATCACAGCTAACTTCATTCCTACAAGAGAAACTTTCCATTGAAACTTAGGGAGTGTCTGCTTGTTATACACATATTAATATGTTAATATATGGCCCGAACACACACAATTTAAAAATGCGTGTTAAAGGAATTTTAAAATACATTTGTATCTTTTTTTAATTTATTTTTAACATGATGAATTGGCCTCAGTTGCATTTTATTTTATAATTAATTTTGCCATCTGGATGAATGTTACTTTTTAATTTTCTTTATTTGTTTTTTGGGAAAAATATACAATTGTATCAAAATATTTGTAATAAAAATATAAAAAGTATAATTACATTTATTTTTAAGAAGAAAAAAACCCCAAAACAAACACAATATTTCAATTTACCTAAATATTTCCACACATTTTTCTTCCACCTACAGGGAGTAAATACTGAATGTTGCCTTCTGTTAAAGAGAGAAGGCTCCTTCAGAGTTTCCCCTCCTTTCCTCTCATTAATGCTGGGCACAATTATGAAACAAAAGCGTGTCCTTCACTCCCCCGTTCTTGTCTCAACCCACTGCAGCAACACATTGATCTGTCTGTCTGTTCATCCCAGGATGAAGGGTGTTTACAGTATCAAGTGCATTCAGCCTGAAGAGGAGGATGCCCCCTGTTGAGATGACTTCAGTGGTGTGCATTTTTGGAGTAACAACAGGAGAAAGAAGGAAAACAGGAGGGAGGGAGGGAGGGACACACATTTCTGCAGTACAAAGCGTGTTGTCCCTCCTACGATCCTTGTAAGGTTTAAGTCAGACAGTGGTTCAGACACCTGATCATTAATGCAACATCTCTCTCCGTCTGCTCGTGTCCTGCCTAAAATACAAGAAATAAGATCATTCATTCGTCTTCTGCCACTTCGATCTTTTTTATGTCTTTGGTGAAGGGGGGCGGCGGGCGTTGTTTATCTTGCGCAGTCCTTACCACCAACAAATAAGTATATAATAACCTATAAAAGATACAGAGGCTGGAATTACCAGATCCCTCCAACACAACCCCCAGATTCAATGAACCGTCATGGACCCCATTGTTTTAATCCATTAAACATCAGTCCATTACATTGAGTAGCATTACATTGTAGAAATAAAACTTCATCAGATTCCTTTTAAAATTCTTCCCTTAGAAATGAAACGTCATCAGATTCCTTTTAAAATTCTTCCCACAGCCTTAATTCCTTCATAGTTAAGTTCATCTCAAGCTTCTGATTCCCCTTAACTTTTCCTGTATTTATACCGAGGTCAGGTTGGTGTTGTCTCTTTAGCAGAAGTGAAATATTTGGTGTTCTTCCACCGTCTGGTCTGTTCCTGCTTCTGTTGTCTGCAGGGGCGTGATATTTGAAGTTTTGACTCAAGACATTTACTGGTGTCTCTGCAACAACATGTTGTTCACAGAGTTACACAAACAAATTTAAATCACCAATATGAAACTCCCTAATTTAGTAAATCAGAATTGAAACTGTGGAGACTTATTGAACGTTTTACAATAGAAATGTGTTTTAATGGACAAGATGAGAAATGACCAGTAATTTTATTTATCAGCTAATCCTCAAAAATACCCAAGAAATGATTAAAGAATTGAACTGGTTTCACACGAGAAAATGTTTGTATTAATAAGTTGATAATATGAATTGGAACAGTGTAACTGTCAATATTGATATAATTACACACCAATATCAACGACTGGGAGGAAGTTAGGTTTCAAACTACCTGTGAACTCATGGCTAGTTAATGATCAACTCTGATGGAGTTTTAAATTGAATGTGAACGGATGTGTGTGAGGATGAAGTGTCTCTTCATTAGACTCACCAACATTTGTCTCCGTTAGTTTAACTCTGGAGGAGGAGACTCTGTCCTTGAGTGTTTCTGTGTCTTATCCCTTGGCTTTAAAGGATTTAACAACACAAGGAGAAGTTTGAAGAGTAGAGTTGGGATTTATCCTTTTATGCTTGATGGAGTGTAGCTCTGTGAGGAGCTCTGCGGAGAGGATAAGGCCCGGTGCTGTAAGAAGGAGGAGAGCAGGACGTGTGTAACCGCCAGGCAGCAGCTCAGAGAATGATGGTTTGTTTGGCTTTTTCTCGTCTCCGCTGTCCTTCAAGGACCACTTTTGTTCTCACCATCAGTGCTGGAAGTATATACACTGTAGACAGGCTCATTCATACCAGTACAGATACGTGCCACCTGGAATCTGAATTTGCACCGCCAGGCTGCCTCCTCTTCGTAGCAGTTGTGTCGGTGGAGCAGATGGCGGGCTGTGTTTATCTATCCATTTATTTGATACTTTAACTTAGGAACTCTATAAGGCACGAGAACGCAGCGTTATCAGATCGCAGATGTGTCAAAGTGAATGTGAAGTAACTGTACGCAAAATGCCTTCATGCCACACTGGGGAAACACAAGGTAGATGGTTTACAAGTACTGTTACAGAGCTGCCACACACGGTTTGTGGAAGCAGCGTGGATTCCCACGACTCGGTGAGCTGCAGTCCATTATAGCCACGCTGCTGTGACAGAAAGCAATAAAGAGAAACAAGACGATGTCTGCTCTGTGTCTGTGTAGAAACAACTACAGCACCTACAGTCCTACACGTACTACTACAGTCCTGTCGTACCAACCTCCGTTCATGGGCCAAGGCCACAACACAGTGTAGGAAAAGTCCTGGGTTTGATTCCCAAAGGAACCACATGCTTGGTGCCTGCTGGGGCCTGTCTGCTGTTAATAGAAGGATTTCCCAAATATTGGATCAATACAGTAAACATTTTTATTATATATTTTTGTATACATGTTTACTTAAAATTAAAAATTAAAAATCAGACACCGTTGAACTCAGAGCACCTGGCTGAACTTTTTGAGTCAACTTCCTATAATCTTTTAAATTTATTTTGTTGCATTTTTGTAGTGCATCCTATAGAAAGATTTGGGCCAAGGCCACAACACAGTGTAGGAAAAGTCCTGGGTTTGATTCCCAAAGGAACCACATGCTTGGTGCCTGCTGGGGCCTGTCTGCTGTTAATAGAAGGATTATTGGATCAATACAGTAAACATTTCTATTATATATTTTTTATACATGTTTACTTAAAATTAAAAATTAAAAATCAGACACCGTTGAACTCAGAGCACCTGGCTGAACTTTTTGAGTCAACTTCATATAATCTTTTAAATTTATTTTGTTGCATTTTTGTAGTGCATCCTATAGAAAGATCAGTCTAAAAACCATTTATTTCTATTTGAAGGTATTTGTCTGTTTCATTCTTGTGCAGCCGAGGTTTTTTTCTTTCTTTCTTTCTTTCTTTTTTTTAAGGTTTTACCGACTGGCTAAAAAAAAATACGCTGTCTCAGGACATCTGCAGACATGGTGGTTTTGTTTTGCTGATGTTACGGTTTTTAAACAATCGCCATGCCTGTCAGCATCGCACAGGCTGATTCTAGGCTGTAGCCTTTTGGAGGTGTTGTAGAAAAATATAATCACTGGCTTCAGGCTTCCTGTGTTTCTCTCGGTCTCCATTCGCGCTTGTACTTTCTGTTTTGTGGAGGTTGAGGTTAGAGACACCAAGTTGCGTGGTTGAGTGAGACGACTGCCTTGAATCTGCTCTGTGCTGGCAGTGAAGGTGACTTATATCACAACGCTGGGGAAAGAAAAAAAAAAAAGCAGAAAAATGGAACAGAGTGTCGTAACAGATCTTTTGGTGTTAATTCTAGCCATACTAAGTTATGGGTCGTGTGTTGGTGTGGTGTGGTGTGTAGGAGATGAGTGTTTCTCATCCCTCTTGAGTTCCTTACCCATCAGAATCTGTCAATATCCCCCTCTCTAGTCACTGAGGAATCTACCCGGGCCTGTTAGTCAGGCTGCAGGGAGATGAGGTGAGGCAGTAAAATGGAGGTTTCAGTGTCAATGGTGAGATGTATATCTGTCATTTGTTTACAGAGTGGGAGGATGAATGTGGGAGGAGGACATGAACAGGGTAACCGTGGTGGGGTGAAGCAAAGGTAAGGGAGATAGGGCACTGAAACAGATGAGTGCAGAAGCAGGGGAGTGTAGCTCTGCCTCTGTTGACCGCTGCTGAGGTCGTGACCCCTGCTGCAGAGAGGCTGTGCAGGTTTAGGACTGTCTTTTGTTACTGCGCCGTCTTTTTTCTAGGTGATTTGTTTGTTCGGTTGTTCTGGTGATTTTGTTTGAAGTTCAACTCTAGCTTTAGCTGAATAATTGTTGCACATGTTAAGACGTTAAACAACTGTTTTGGCTGCAATCTTGGCCAATTGTTGATGTACCCACAATTCCCCACACTTTCAGAAAAAAAAAACAAAAAAACAGTTCAATAAGCTTTTTTAAAAA